AAGAGATGGGAAATGAGTGCTCTTGGGGAGTCCTGGCTGCGCTTGGAATTTTCATTTTTTTGCATCAGTGGGGGAAGAAGCAAAGCAAAATGAGACAGAAATCCCTCCCCTTGCCTCTCCCTCTTAGTTTTTTTTGGCAACAACCATTTGAGAGTCTGATAGGGGGAAAAAATAAAATACCATATGTATGTTGTTTTGCTTCATCAAAGATGTCATCCATTTTTTTTTAAATGCAAGTTGAATAAACTAAGAATTTCAGTCTCGACTATTCATAGGCATAGAAATGTATACAAGATATTTATAGTCTATCTCATTAATGTCAGTAAGATTATTCATACGCTTCAGATGATGAACAAAACCAGGAGTGAATAGGTGTAGGAGGTAGACTGGAGCGCTGCAAAGAGGTCTGTGAAGGAATTAATTGTGAGGTTCTTCTGTGTGCTCTGTGGATGGAGGGCACATTCCCCACTGGGAGGAGAGGGCTCACTACAGCTTCCAGAGGAGATATAGAAGCCTAGGGTCTCCCTTCTGTGTTTTTCTTACTTAAACAAATGAAAAGTTGTGATACTGGGCTCTAAAAAAGATTCTTCTTTTTTTATTTAATAAACCAGCACTTATTTTCTGTTCAAGTTAGTATGAGCTAGTTAGTATGAGCAGCTTTTCTGCCTTCCACCATTGTGGAATGGGTGAAGGAGTTGAGGCCAAGACTCTTACTGTGGATGGGGACATTCCTGCACCGTAGCGAATTGTTCTGAAGCGGTGAAAGAAGTGACCCTGCATCTGCTAACAGAAACAGAAGCTGCCTGTATTTGATTTCTCTGTGCAAAAACTTCTGTTCAGTGCTGGATTGCAGCTATAGTAGTATCAGATTCCTGCCACAAGCTAAAACTTCTGATTGCATTAAGTAAAGCTGCTCTAACTCGCTGGTATTTTATTTGTAGGTTCATCCAAATGAACTGACAAATGGCGTCATAAATGCTGCATTCATGCTTCTATTCAAAGATCTTATCAAACTTTTTGCTTGCTACAATGATGGGGTTATTAACTTACTAGGTAAGTATCCTGATGCCTATAGTTCACATACACAAGCAAGTGAAAAATGGGTTTTGAAACTACCTTTTTCTTTTTTTCTTTAGTCTTGCCATTAAACTTAATGCATTGTTTTTGACTGCCCCATTAGGAAGTGAAAAGTTAGGAAAAACTTTGTCATATTCATAAACTTTTAAATTAGTGGTTATCTGAAGCGGGGTTGCCATATTTTTATAAAAATGTTAAGAAGCCTACAGCAAGGCACCAAGTCTGTCTGTGCTTGCAGGTAAAAAAAATAAAAGTAGATTGCTGTGTGTGTGAGTTTGCATAATGTGTCTTGTGAGGATAGCAAAGCAGCTTTTGCTATTTGGTTGCTCATCCAAAATGTCCAGGTTCCTCTTTCTGCTCTGTGTGCTATGTACTAGCCTTTCATTAAGCAACATCCTCCTGAATAGCTTTAATGCCTAACTGAAATTTACCAAATTATTCATTTAGAGAAATTTTTTGAAATGAAGAAGGGCCAATGTAAAGACGCTCTTGAAATCTACAAACGGTTTCTTACTCGCATGACCAGAGTATCCGAGTTTCTTAAGGTTGCAGAGGTAAGTGACTTCCCATCTTCCCGAGTCTGGCATTTACACTTGGGGGATTTTTTTTTTAGCACTAACATAAAATATTAATTGAACTTGTCAAGCATCTTTTTCACTGTGTGTAAATTCGAGGCAGTCTAGACCTGCTCATTCAGCACTTCTTGGACTAGTAAGCCCCACTTAGACCTTCAATATATCTCTGCTGTGCAGCCAACCTCAACTTTCCTGGTAATTCAGCAGATGACAGAAATTCAACCACGACAGTGTTTCTTGGAAGTGCTGCAGTAAATGCATGTTTCTGGGACAGAGCTGAGCCTTAGAGGATGATACAGCAATTGCAGACAAAAGCGTAACAATTTAAAGTCTCCTTCCTAAGTCTTTGCAGCCAACTGCAACTACACGTTCGTACCTGTGATGGGAAAATTTACTGGGTTTGATCATTTTTATCATCTTACGTGGGTAACACAAGTATTACCTGGTTACTTAACTGTTTTGCTGGCCTGTCATTTGAGATGGTTGGCTCCCAGGCACTCGATGAACTTTCTGCCGTATTTCATGCTTCATTGTCAAGGGCAGCAACAATGAGCTAGAGAGCGAGTTTGTGCCTTTGGTTGTGCACCTACTTACTGGAAGGAAACTGCAGTGGCACGTGATGTCCAACATGAATGTTAGACTTGAGGGGGGTATAACTTCAGATCTCAGAATTCGGGCAGCTTTACAGCCCAGCAGATTCAGAATTATTCTGATTATACCTCGGAATGACTAAATGGAGAGTTTGCTCTTCTGCAAACGTTAGATGAGCAGCCGCTACAAAGAGCCAACAGTTAAGCAATAAGGCAACTAATTAAAGTTTGCAAACTGACACCTCATCTTGCTGTACTTGAAATATAAGCAGAGAAGGGCCAAAAACAGTGTGACCTGAGTCAGTCTCAGTCTTTCATCAGTCTCTTCTAGAAGTTGCTCTCTGCTGAATTTAGAAATAAATTCATTAGGATAGTCAGGTGTTTAGGTAGTGCTTCCATGGCAGCTCGCTGATGCTGCCCTCAGAGACAATAGTACATGACCAGAAAACCCTGCGTGTTTTACAGTAGGGAGTATGAATTTCACCACTGTGCAGGAGAACCTGAGAAAAAGTCTGCTGCAAGTTGCTGCAAGTAGTGGAATGGCTTCTGGAAAGAGGTGGAGGGGATCTCCTTTTTAAAATTTTTTAAAGAGAAAGTGGGTCTTAGAGTTGAAGAGCATTGCACAGTTCTAGTCAAACGTAATGCCCTCTGCAGGGGAAATAACTCACTCATGTTTCACAACCTCTTTTCAATCCACAGCAAGTTGGAATTGACAAAGGCGATATCCCGGATCTTACTCAGGTAAGCCTCTCTGGGGTCTCTTTGTCTACTAACTAAAAGTTTAATAACAAGAAGGTATGTTGATAGGCACTACCTAATGCCTTAAAGCCCTCTCAACACACAAATCAAAAAATAAAACTATGTGAAGGTTTTTTTTAAAGACTAGTGAAGCAACTTCTTCCAACATGTAGTTGAAAAATGGGCATCTTGCCTTTTCTGTGCTAACAGGCAGGCTGCCACAGCTGACAGGACAAGTTGGTCTTTGACAACAGACTGACTGGCTGCACAAAACCTGTGACTTGCCACGTGATCCCACTCTGACACTGTCCAGAGATGAAGTTCAGAGCAGTGATACATGGCACTACTGTCTTGATTTAACTACAGTGAATTGAAGTTTTGATCCAGAAGTCTGGGTTGGCTTGCTGAACTTCTGTCATTATGAATCAAAACTGTAACATCAGGATTCATTAATGCCCTAGTTGCTTAAATTTGGTTTTGGTCCATTTTCAGTAACACTTGCAAACTGGGTTTAGCGTCTGGCTTTGCATTTGATTTAAAAAGAAGTATTTGCTTGGGAATGAGGATGAGGTCTGTTCTGAAGAGTTTGCACTCATGGTGGTTTCGATGCCAGTAATACTGGAATCAGGGATTTCTTAACCTCTTAGCCTGTGCATGTGTAGCTTTTGTAAAACTGCTTGAAAGTCTGGTTTAAAATAGCATCAAAATACTGTTTCCCTTGGTTAAAAATTCAGAAGCCCTGACATGATGTAATGACATGACCCACATGATGGGGGCTTTAGTCCTTGTGGGTTTCAGGTACTACTGAATCACAAAGCCTGTGTCAGTCTCTTTCAGTTGTAGAAAGCTTCAAATTCTTGGAGAGGTAGCATATGAAATACCAAATAATTCTTAAATAGTTTTAGTATATTCTGGTACTTCTTTACATAATGGGCTCTCTTTTTTTAAAGAAAAAAAAAAAAAACAAGATCCAATCATTCATGAACCAAATTTTTGAACCAAGAGAATTCAGCTTAAGCTCAGTTGATGAAATACTCTATAAATTCCTGTGGCACTTCTGTTTGCTTCTGTTTTTGCTGCTTCAGCCTGCTGGCAAAGCTGCCTGCTAGGACTGCACAAGCCCCGCGCCGCAGCAGGGAACCCAGCGGTGTCCAGAGCCGCCGTAGTTACTGCAGACGGAGGGTCCGTGTTTCACATCGGGAACCAACACTTTGACCAAGAGCTCCCACTTCAGGCTAAGTGCAAAAGCCAGGAACTGCCTTGAGCTGCCAGAGCCAGCCCCATGGGGCTGCTGCACTCCTGTGTAGCGCAGGAAGCCCGGCCTTTGCTACCACCGCCCTGTGGTGGTTGCCAAAACGCAATCGCAGGTCGCCCCCCGTAGGTTGTTCTGCCAAGTCTGGTGGGGAACCCCCTGCCTAAAACTAATCCGCAGCATAGCATGGACTGTGTCTAAGACCTAGGCAGGGTATTTCAGTGAAATAAATAAAAGCCAAATAAGAAAACTGAATTTCAGCCAATAAAGATTTTTTTTTTTGGTGGACTAATCATACATGGGTATTATATGAGAGTGATCTGGGTAAGAAAACTGAATTTCAGCCAATAAAGTTTTTTTTTGGTGGGCTAATCATACATGGTATTGTATGAGAGTGATCTGGCATGATAGCACTGAAATATTGATGATTTTCCTAAATGCCCAAAGTAAGTCATTGAAATAGGGAGTAGCATTCCACAAGAACCTTCGGCTGTCTTGACGTTTGGTGTGTACACATACTCTGTAAATCCAAAAAAGTAGTTTTGGAAGCTGAAGCAGAAGTTGGTAGCTGTCCATCTTCCATCTTTCATGCTTGACTGTAAGGCTTTGGAAGCTGTGGTGGCTTCTTGTCTGTTAGAGAACTTGACTCATTTTTAGTAAGCTGTTCTTGAAGCGTAGTTGTTTTTGTCCAGATAGCTAGTGGGAAGTCCCTATCTAAGTTTCCAGAACCATGTTGGTCAACATGATTCAAGCTATCTTTGAAGCAGTGTCTAGAAGAGATGAAGTGATATTCCGAGTTGCAAATTGGATACAGTGTTGCGAATTTAGTAAGATTTGTATCTGAGCAGAAGTTTTCTAGAGCTGCTTCTACAGGTTCTGTTTACAGGGCAAGTTTCTTATGTGCTTGCTGGCTTTTAAGAAACCACTGAACAGTGTATTGGAAATTTAGTTAAGCATACAGCAGCAAAGAGGAAATAATGGTGGAAGTTTCGGAAACACAACTTTCTGCTCAGACACCCAAGTAGGTACAGCTTGCTCCTTTTGATACAGCCTTTTGGAATTGGTCCAGGTCTGAATCTCTTCTTCAGTGAATGAGAGCCTTTGGTCATCCGTTTTTCTTGCTGCTGGAGAATCCTTGTAACTAAGTCACTTGTGTTGAACTCGATTCTTGCTTGTGCTTGCATTATGAGGAAACATGCCTATAAAAATAACACTAGCAATCAAGCTGTTTCAGCAGTGCTTATGTACATGGGACTTGTCTGAACACAGCTCATCTGGAGCATTAGGGAATTTTGGTGCCTTTGAGTTTCTGCATGTGTTGAGTTCCTTCATCGCTCAGTTTTAATGTCAAAATGAGTATGTGGACACCATGCGCTCAACGTACTTAGCTGTGCATTGGCACTAGCAGGTCCTGAGCATGGTGAAGCACTCACCATAGCTGCACAGCTGGAGTCCTCAGTGTGCTGAACACACAGGCAGGGGGGCTCCACTTGCCATTGTGACAACCTGGGGTTTTTGGTGCATGTGTGTATCCCAAAATTAAGGACATTATTTATGGAACATACCATAGGTGTTGCTGCCAGGAATTCTGATTGATCTAAAAGACACTGATAAAGAGAATTGCCCCTTTAAGGAATGTACCCTTGATGAACCGGTAACCCTGATAAAAACTTTGCTGTTATTTATTTGCTACTGTGACTCTCCAAGATTTCCTTCTTGCTTGTTGATCTTGCAGGATTCTACCTGTCTGAACACTGTTTTTATACTGGAGTTATTAAAGACACTGTCATTTGTATTTACTCTTGCTTTTCTCAATTGCCATTGTAACAGCAAATGCATGCCTGGGACATTGCCTGGCCACAGAAAAGGTTCCCTGAAATAAAACCAAAGATCATTAAAACTTGAAAAAGCTTAATTTTTGTAAATTCCCCCAAATCATGTTTTTTTTTTCTTTCCCCAAATTTTGAGTTTTTCTAGGTGCTGGACTCAATAACCTATGCCTAGTTTAATACTGTGACCAAATAAGAGCTAGTATGTATGAACTATATGAGAGTCTTGGAACTAAGGTAGCAGCTTTTGTGGGAGTTAGGGTGATAATGTTTTGTTTAGACTGCAGATGTGATAGATCCCTTTGGTTGTAAATGACTTATTGGAGATCTGGCTATGAGCAAAACTGAAGGGATGACCTTGAGCCCGTAGCTGTTAATGAGCCCAGTGGATGCCTGTGCTGTTGTCAATGTTTTAGCACTGAGTGAAAGCATGATGAGAGAATCTTGGTTTTAGGCTTCAGACTCTGTTTAGTGGAGTTAAATGCTTTCTCTCTGCAAATCCAAGCACTTAATATTAGCCTTTAGCTATCCTGTCTTTGCCTGGATACTTTGAGCATGGGAATCCACTACTTTCACGGTGTCGAAAACAAAGTAACAGCATGAGCATGCGTTACAGGGAAGTTTGTGCTGGATCTCTGCAATTACAGTTTTATTGTACTGTATTTAGAAGTGTATCTTTTGTGTTTGCTTTCAAGGCTCCTAGCAGTCTTATGGAGACCCTTGAGCAACATCTAAACTCATTGGAAGGAAAAAAACCTGGCAACAGGTAGGTCTATGGTGCAAAAACATCTCAAGGCAAAATGTAGTCTGAGACTAGTTGATAATTTGGGCTTATTGCCCCCAGCCTGCTTTTGCCTGGAAAAAGAATTCAGGTTAAGATTAGATTTTCCTTTTCAGAAGTCTCTAAATGACAAGCAGTGGGGGGAATAGAAGCAAACATCTTGACTCTTGTGGCTTAAGGAACACTCCTGAAAGGAACTGGTTTTTGCTGGAGCAGGCACCTCTATTTTCAAAATTGAATTGTTTCTTAATGATTTTATATCCTTTTGCTATGTATTTGTCATGACTAACTCTAGAAAAAAAATAAGCTAAAACTGTCTCTTTTTTTTTTCTTCTTTTGTCTTTCTTTTGCTGTTGCTTTCCCTGTAATTTAGTGAAGGGTAAGTACAGACGTTTATGTCACTTGCATGCAGACATGGTTATGTTTTTTTTTAAATGGCTTCAACAATCAGAAATAGGCATCTTCATTAAATTGTACATAAATTGTTACTTGCTTTTGTATATATTCATTGAGTTATTTTTAGTCATTTCTGTAGTGATTCCAGATTTTCTAATCGTTGCTACAGCTTTCAAAATTTGTAAGGTTTATCCAGTTGGATAATTAACCTATAGGGCAGACCCTAGTTTAATACCAATGAAGTTTTAATAAAAATTCACCTCTATTTTCATACTCAGTGGCATTTTAAGTTTCCCTCTCTTAAGTCAAAGCATTTAGCCCTATTTTCATACCTCATAGTAATGAAGTCAAACAAATGCACTGAGCTGTACATCCTAATTTATGATTAAGACTCTGCAGTTTGGTGTTATTATGTCTTTTTGTATGTGAGTGACTTTTTAGCTTGGACTTTACAACTAATTGTTTCCATACTTTTACATTTCATTATTTTAAAGTAACTTGACTATCTTTAAAAAAGCAGTGCTCAAAAAAATAGGTGATCCCCCAGAAGTCTTAGATAACTGCTTCCATATCAGTTTTATTCTGCTGTAGTCGCAGGATTTATACAGCCTGGCTACATCTTGCCCCAGTGACTCTTTCCTGCTGGCTCATGTGGGCCTTAATGTGAGACTTTGGTAGCGTTTCTGCCTTCCCTGCGTAAAGCAGAGCTTATTTAAAAGGCAGAATAATCCTGAGCTGTCTACTAGCTTAAAAGACTTATTTAATCTTTGATGAATAATTTCCTGTCTTCATCTAATATGACATGTGAAAGTTTGGGAAATGGGAGAGGGCAAGGAATTTTAGAGATCTTCAGAAAACCGTCATGCTTAGTTTTTTGGTCTTTTTTTGCATGAGTTTTGATGACCAGAAACAGTTCCCAAAAGTGGACTTACCTCAAACCCTTTTTTTTTTTTTTTTTTTCCCTCCTCTGTAGATCTGGGGCTCCTTCTCCTCTGAGCAAGGTAAATACTGTCTATTGGTGAGCTAACTCTTGTTCAGGTGACAGGCTTCTGAACATCTTAAGGGCATAAAGAGTTAAATTTCCTTCTGTTAATCTGCTTTGTAGACCTGTCTGGGACCTAAATGACAAACTACATCTTTAAACGTTTTCAGAGTGGTCTCGTGAAGGCTCCTTGCTAATCTGACAGGCCATAACAGCTTGCACGGGTGCATTCAGTGCCTATGGCAAGTGCTGTGTGGCAGAAACAGAAACTCCTGAATTGGGCTGTTCAGTGCTCGGTTCTAATGAAAGGTCTTGCCTAACTTCCAAAACACCCTTAGTTTGAAGGGGAGAAAAAACAAGCCACAGTTCCCTGCCAACTGTTCTTGTGCAGGCCTGCTGCCGTAGGTGAGATGAGTACCTTACTATTCAGCCAGTGTTCCTGCAGCCCTGAGTAACCTCCTGCTCCCCAGTTTATGTGGAGACTTTGCATCAAATGAGTCTCAGACTGTAGTAAAGGCTTGAGGAGAGTCTAGGCAACTTATATCCATCTCTAGTCAGAGTTCTGATGGGGGGATGGCAGTAGCAGAACTAAGAGGAAAATATTTCCAATTCGTCTTTCCTTTTCTTCTTGGTAACGGTCACAATGGTATATTGAGCTAAATATAGGACACTTGCTTTTGTTCATTAGGAAAAGCTTTTCTCTGGTATGTATGAGGTGATGCAACAAAACTAGCAATGTCTGTTAGAATTAAATTGAAACTCTTCAAAGTAACTTGATTCTCAAGAGCACGGAACCACCGCACGAAACTGTACCTGGTGTCTGACCTTGCTGTGTTTAAGATATGTCTAATCTCCAGAATTGAAAGAGCTAATGAAGAAAATGCATCGGCTGAATTGTCTTTTTACTTTCCCAAGGACTTAGCCTTTGGTACTGGTACCAGTTTGCTCCTAAACTCTCCTCAGACCAAAGTTTATAGGTACACTGACATGATGTAATGACATCTAATAACTTAGTTGCTGAACATTTCTCCCACCACTGCTACAATCAGTGATGCTGTTGTGAGCTAAAAAACAAATGTTTTATCTCATGGACAAAGTGAACGCTGTTACAGATGTGGAAACAAAACCACAAAAATATTTAATTCCTCTCATCTGCACGATGGTACTGGTGTCAGTGCTAAGAACAGGGGAAAGCTGAGGAGCAAACCATTTTCCTGGAACTTACTGAAGATATATTTGACACATTGAAGCTGTTCCTTGTCTTAATTGGGATTTTAAAGGGTTGATAAGGCAGCCCCAAATCATGAGCTTCACTTCTGAGTTAGGGTTGCTTAGACATTGAGCGAGTCATCAATATCCCATGACAATACAGCATATTCTTTGTGGCCTTCTCTAGCAAAGAAACCAAATGCTCAGAGCTTGTAACTTGTTAGCCCTCTGAAAACTTAGCCAGTTGTCCTTAAATTCTCTAAAACAGGAGAATAGCTTGCACTGAGAACAACTGATGTCAAAATTGAACTTATGTGAATATGTGCACTGGTTGTTTGTGAAGAAATAATAGTGTATTGAATGTATACTTAAAATATTTCTCCAGTCTTCTCCAGCTACAACTGTTACATCTCCTAATGCTACCCCGGCAAAAAGTATTGATACATCTCCTCCAGTTGATCTTTTTGCAACTTCATCTACAGCTGCACCAGTCAGGTAAGTTAAAAGGCAGAGACTGATGAGACTGATGCAGATGCCAAGGTCACAGCTGTAACAGGAGACTTGCCTGAAAGACTTTGCTCGCTCTATCAGTAGTATACTTCAGTGCTGAATGAGTTATGAGAGCGTGTAGGTCTAGATCACTAATGAGCCCTAGCCAGAAAAGAAAAAGTGGCTGCTCTGGTTTGCTCTCAGTGTCAAGAACGTCAGAGTTGAGCCAACATAAATCTACGGCCAAGTAGACTAAAGTTTCTCGAACGGTCAAACACAAAGCCAAATTAATCTTTGCTGACTTGCTCTGATTTCTCATTGATGACTTGAAACTCCTTTCCTTTGCTGTTCAAATTAATTAGTGAAGCACAGAAAAATATGATGAACTTAGATGGTTAAAATCAGAATAAAACATTTTAGTTTGATCAGTCAGAAATTCCAAATTTTGCTTTTAACTCAAAAACTGAAGAAACCACTGTTCTTCATTATGATGCTTCCGGAATTGAAGAATTCTAGACATGTAAAATCTCTAAACTAGAACCAACAGCATAAAGACTTTATTAATTTGGTTTAAACTTTTTGGTATGTCAGATGAAGTACTTTGAAGGAACAGCCTCAAGATTCATTTTTTACTATTTAAATGTCCCAGATGAAAAATACTTTATTCACTGGCTTCTAAGTCAGCATCTGGCTGCTTTAAGTTATCTTAAGTTTTACCAACTCTGTGTTGCATTATCGCTGTTCATTGCCTGGCAAGTGCACATTTCTGGCCTCCTGGTATGATGCAATGAAGCATTTAAGTAGCATGGAGCTGTTTTCAGTGGCAGCAGTTATTTCCTCTGTTCTTGGGAACCACCTGTGGTTTGGGGGCAGCAGGGAAAGTTTGTTTTTGTTTTCAGGATTGTCACAGTTTAGTGTCTCAGATTCATTACTGTCAGTATCCAGTAGCAGAAATGAGTTGCGGTCTTATCCTGAGGTGTAATGCTTTCTTGGCACTGGTTGCTGTGCAGGTGTTTATGGTCATTCCTCTAGTATTACGGCTTCAAAAAAATTATTTTTTTCTTAGCTGTTGAAATGAACAAATGATCCAAGATTAAGATCTATTTTTCCTTGCCTTGGCAGCTCTTCCAAACCATCTAGTGACCTTCTGGATCTTCAGCCAGATTTTGCCTCTTCTGGGCAAGCGGCTCCAGCCCCTGCCGCTGCTGCTGCTGCTCCTGGAGCAACTTCATGGGGAGGTAAAGAAACTTGCTGCCAGTGTCTCTGCTTGCAGCCTCCTCCTCCTTGCCAGGCTGGCTGAACAGAAGCCAGGCACTCTCTGTCCCGGCACGGGCTGTTCCTAGCTCCCGCTCTGGATTCTGCTGACCTGACAGTCAGGCACTCCTCGGCTGCACAAGACTGCTCCTTTTTCAAGGGATGTGCCTAATCATATAAGCTGATTATGAAGGCCAGGCTGCAAAGCTGGGGGGAGCAGGATTATGTAATGGAAAGTGAGCGGGAAGAGGATGGCTGAAGGTGAACAGGTGGGGTAGGATCTTTAAACAGATGGGAAGGTAGAACAAGAATTGTTTATATGCTTACTGGCAAGGTATGTGAGAAGCTGTGGCAGATAGCAGCTCTTCCATTCATAAAGGAAAGCAGGCACATCCAGAGGGGAAGTTCTGTTTTGAAAAAAATAAGTCCAACAGGCTCTGAGCCAGGCAATGTACACTGTTATACACTATACATCGAGCTGAGTTAGTTGTTCCAGACAGCACTGCTTGTCAGTGATCTGGGCAGCCATTCAGTGTTTTCAATTTTCTCCATCATGAAGAAGTTAAACTATGAAATAATTGCTTAGCTTTCACAGTAAACTCACTGTGGTATAAATAAGAGATTTTCCTCGTGTGACAGCTTGATGAACTCATCGTTCTTAGGGCAGGACTACCACCCTGAGACGTGACGACTCCATTGCTGAATGTTAATACTTGCTGCAAGTAACTTCTGCATCCCCTCTTTCTGCTCCTGGTTTTAGTTCGTTAAAGCTGAGTGTCTCAGTCTTTCAGCAGTGTGAAAGAGTAACAATTGCTCTAGCATACACCATCTTTTTTATATCCATATTTAGCCTGTTGAATTGAGTTTTCATGTGGAAGTACCAGTTTTATTAACTGTACTGCATTCTTATCCAGAAAGCAGGACCAAATATACATCTCTCCTAGGGTAACGCTGACCAATTACTTTGCAGTTTTAATCATATCCTGTTTGACCTTTCTGTGCAGTTTGCTTTAGCAGCAAGTAGCTACGTTGTTTTTGTGCTTCCTTGTTCTCAAGTATTGGAACACAAGGTTTCCTGAGATGTTCGGAAGGACTCGGGTTTCTCAGCTGCCTTTTTTTTTATGTAGTTGGTCATTCACGCAGACTAAATACCATTAAAATCTTAGAATACCGATTCTCATTGTAAATTACGTGTTTTAGAAGAGATGTTGTATGTATATTCTTTTGAATTACTGAAAACTCTTTAAAGTCACCTAGTCATGCACTTACTCTTCTTACTCCACAATGTGGAAGGGCAGCTAACATTTTCCTTTGGCCAGGGCTATCACCACCTCATCAGGCATTGTTCAGTCTTACCTTTAAGATTAGCATTTTGTTATCGTAGTAACATTTTTCAGCTTTGCAGCTAGCAGGAGTCCAGATATAAGGAACTGTTACTCCATCAAAATATTACTTTTTTTTCCTCCTCTAGTTCAGTAGTTGCCCAAAACAGTGTTAGATGAGCATAAATAGAGAACTGTGATGGCTTTGTTGCAAAAATACTGAAACTTCTAATCGCCTTTCATCTAGTCATGAGGAACCTTGCAGCCTGTGTGAAGTTCCTCTATTTAAACTACATCTGCAGGATGAAGCTGATAGTTGTTCTGAATTGTGTATTGTCATAGGTACCATGGAGCGTTTCGCATAGAACCAGCTTCAAGCCATTCCTTTTTCTGTGTCCTCTGAGTTTTCTCATTAGGCTCTTGATAGTCCAGCAGATGGGAAGCAGTGGGGAAGAACTGTGCCTTGAGGTCATACATCTTCCTGGGTTGAAAGCCACGTGAGAAAGCCAAAAAAATTCCATCTGAAGGCTTCAGAAGGAACTTCAGGAAAACAAAATTCTTGTTTGGCAGTTTTTAACAGTGCTGTTAATTTGAATTTTTAGACTGAATTGCAGGAGCATATCTCAATGGAGAATAGTGTGATTTAGGTGGAAGAAAAATGAGGAGGAAAGTGTGTGGAGGGCTCTTCCTTTAAAAATATTCTTGAATCCTTGTGGAGACAGAAGGATCTTTCAAGCCTAAAGGAGAAAGTTGTCCTGTTGGTGGTTATGCAAGCATGGAGAGTTGAGTGGAACTGCTGTTAATCTTTCATGGCTGCAGAGAAATTTCCAGTGTAACTTTTCACAAACTAGCATCCTCTGTTCAGTCACTAATGAGTAAGTAAAGGCCTTAGGTATTTTAGTGGAAGTGTTCGATCCATGGCCTACGTGGGATTCGCACAGAGCTGTTGTTCGAGCTGAGGGATGCGATTCCAAGGCCGCTCTCTGTCATCTGTGGGAAATGACAGCTGCTCTAAGTTCTGACACTCAAACAGGCAGGTCAATTGACTTAATTTTTCTTGCTGAACTGCCTTCTGACATGCCTTAGAATGTGCTATTAGTATTGTTTCTTTAGTATTACTATACAGGAAAGCATTAATTTTAGTCTTTCCCATATTAACAGTGCCTGTAGACTGCCATGCTGAATAACTGTAATTTCAATGTATTGTGATCTATAACAAAACTGGAAACCAGAATACATCTAAGGATAAGCTAGTAAGGGGCAGCAGTTTGCCAGGAGTTGTGTATTTTCAGTCTAGCTGTGAGACTTCCACCTGGTGTGCAGTAATGAGATACCAGAGTGCTGCATTTTTAATAAGCTGTTATGGTCTTTCAGAATGGTATTTTGACATAGCTGAGCTCATGCAGTGAGTCTCAAGTAGACCTCTCTTTGGGAACCAATTACTAAAATACCTGCATATTTTCTGTGGTGCCTTTTTTTAACAAGTGTGGAAGATAGACACAAATCCATGAGGGTTAAGTGTGTTTGCTCAGAGCATTTTGCTTCCCAGATACTGACCTATAATAAAATATCTAGACTTTGAGCTTGCTGTTCAGTGTGGTGATGAAGAACCCATAACCCCATTAGTTGTACAATGAGCCTCGGAGCAACACTGAGCTCTGATCGATGTACTGGTCAGCGAATACGTAGCTGTTCTGCTCAGACTTCCTTCCCTGCAGTATAAAACAGGAAGCAGGCCAAGTTTTTGGCAGCCTAGGAAGGGTTGTGTGCTACCTTAGCTATACTAATGGTTCTAGAAATATATTCCAGCATTGATATAAATAGCTGTGCTTCTGGAGGCATGTGCAAAGGGTGAAATGCAATGAAACTGAAGATGATACCTGCTGGTAACCTGTGCCTCCAGTCCCTGCAGCAACACTGTGCTGATTTGCATCCTGTTGTAGGGTGAATATTCCTCACTAGGAGATGTACACAGTGTCACTGGGGGTAATGCAAGGTTGGGATGCAATCTAGACCACCTGCAGCATTCTTCAGCAAAAAAAAAAAGTAACGTTTTGTACTTGTAGGAGCTAGATTCTGGGTGTCAAGTAGCAGAACAGCCGCATATCTGCCATTCCGAACAGACCTCAGGTCTTTGAAACACCCCTAAGGTACAAGGTGTGAGTTCTTGTGAGCCTGGCCTAGCACTGTGTGTGGTACATCGAGGCCTGTCTGGAGAAAGGTGCTTGTAGTGCTGCAGCCTGGCCTGTTTCAGCCTTCTCCAAGCAGTTCATAGAGATGGTTTAGTTACAGGTGTGAATAGGAGTGCACGAGGGCCATGGTTTTAAAAAACCTGCTCATGATCTACAGCCTGAGGTATTCAGTGCCTCTGAATCCTGCCTTCCATGAGAGCAGAACAGCTGCTCAGGCAAGGGAAGGCCCTGTGTTTTAACGGAGGGACCTGAGCACTTCTGTCAGTCCAGTGAAACTACCCAGAGCCTAAAATACAGTGCTGGCTTCCTCACTTTAGAGGAGGAGGCAGAACTTCCACTGTGTTGGAGCTTGATCTGACGGGTCTTGGAGGCAGCAGCCTGTGGAGGAGCTGCCGGTAGAGCTGCCGAGTACCCCTGGGAGCTGCCGACTGCGGAACTGAGGCTGGACTGGAGAGACCTCCAGGTTCCCCAGCACTCATAGTCTGCATAGCACGTGTTAACATGGGTTGTACCTTCTGACTGCTCTCACCAACTTTAATGATATCTTTGTCCAATGTCTTGCTCCTAACTTTATTCTAGAAAATACTTGTAACTAAACAGAATTATCTTGAAATTTGCTTTGTTATCTGCGTACGTTTTGCTAATAGCATGATGCGGTCTTGAGTAATTGCTCACTGATTTGAATTAATGTCAATTACTTCTGAGTGTTTGCTGTATTCATGTGTGACAGCTGGGTTTCACTGGGGCTTGTTCTTCTTACATAGATATTTAATTTGTGGTAGTCTTGAATCTCTGTGTAGTTAGACTAGTGCAAGTAAATTACAAATTTTCAGTGTTCTTAGTTAGCTATTTTTAAATTTTAAGGTAGTCTATTTGCTTCTTGTGGAATTCCCCATTGCTTAAACAAATGCAGGTTCAGGGAGAGGGGAAAAATGAGAACTAGTGTGCTGGTGAACTGAGCTTTCCCAAGAAATGGTTCTTGGCTTTTCCTTAGGGCGGTGAAAGGTAGGAGACCTTTCTGTCAGCGCTTGGCCCTGGCTAAATCTTGGTCATCGTGGTTTGAAAATGGGAGTGAAGTCCAGCTGCACGGGACAGAAATGATGAATACTGCAGATGTTGGAATATCTTGCTGATTAGGGATCAAATGCATAAGACTTGTGCCCTGGTTCTGTTTGGAATAGAGTTATTAAACAAGTTTGTTATGTGGAAATAGCTGTTTGACTATTGGACAATTAAATGCAGTCGTTCTGTTTGATCCAGATGTGTCACTTAGAGAATGAATGTGTGGCTAATGAACACCACCTGCGTGGCTGCTCTACTAACTGCTCTGTTTCTTTTGCACTGCTGTCGTTTTAATGGACAATCGCTAGACCTCTTGGGAGAGGGTGAGTAACATTTTTAATTTTTAAGACTATTGAAAGTTAAGACTCCTTATTAAGTATTAATATTCTTGGAGTTGAGTGCTAGTGGTCTGTGTCCCTCTTCCCCTTACTTTTCCTGTTTGATCTTTGTTATATGGTTGCATATAGATAATCTGGCTGCACTTTCCGGTGTTACCTCTGAGCCACAGATTTCAGATCCATTTGCCCCAGAGCCTAGTGCAACTACTGCTGCAACTACTGATACTGCAACTACTTCAGCTGCTGCTACAACTGCAACTATTACTGCTACCACTGCTGAGGTGGATCTCTTTGGAGGTTAGTCTGGTTGCTCTTGTTATCTAATCCATCTCATATGGTTGATGAAGCAATATTGAGATCCACTGTTGTCATAAGGCCTCTAGTTTTACTTACTCAAGCAAAGACACTTGGGTGTTGGACGCTATGGAGCAGGAAATATAAACTAACCAACTAGTTTTTTGTTTGCTGTGTTATTAACTAATAGGCTCCTCTGCATATACAGTGTTTTACCTCTGTGTATATCCAGGTATAGGAAATGGAAACCTGTGTACACTTCAGCCTGAGGTACATTCTAATAAACAGCTAACTAAGAAAATCAATTTTCAGGTCCACACTGGGTTAAGCAGGTATTCTTTCCATGTTATTTAGTGACAGTATGCTCTACTGGAGTTTCTAGGGAAAAGCAATGATGCTTTCCTAGTTGCTGCACTAGAGAGGATGGGCATGGCAGCTCCTTGCCTATTTCTTACATGTCACACTTCTGTCACACAGCTGTGTTGTGTTTCTCTAGATCTTTCCTTGAAATTCGGTATTGAGCCACCTGCAATTACTGTATTTCAGGATTCGGCATTCTGCAGGATTCCTATAGTAAAGCAAAATTACAATGAACTTGGCCTGGATGCTAAATATACAGCTAATGTATAGGCATCATTGTATTATGATTTTTCTTATATATGCTCTTTCCATCTCTAATACTAGTTGCTAGACTCTTGGGTAAGAATAAAGCCTGCCCTGTCTATTGCCAGCTTTCTTTTCCCTCCACGGGAGCATAAAGCTTCTCGACAGCCAGTCAGAAATCCCCCTGTGTCTTTTCGACATGGTACCAACCCAGCTTGGTGGGAAAACCTTTTGATTTATGAACTAACATACTTTACTTCAGATTTAGGATTGGCTGACTACTCTGTTTAACTAATTGTCCTTGAAGCTTATTCCAAGTGTGACAATGGATGTCCATGTCAAGATTTAGTAATAACGTGTTTACTGTCAAAACTAACATGTTTGCTGTCAAAACTTCCAGAACTTTGCTGTGTGTTCTCACTATGGGTGTGCTCGTTACCTGCTGTTTCTAAGGGCAGAAGTGCAGGAGGGGGTCTGACACGTGCACAGTTTGATTAAAAAGGTTTTTCCTTAAGCCTGGAAGTTCCAGTCCCAGGAGCTGGAATTCGTGCTTAGGACTGACCTTTGGGATATCCCCAATACAACTGCTGAGAAGCTGTAAGGAGGGAGCAGGACTGCTACACTGCCACTTCATCCCTCCTTCATAAGGATGGATAACAGACCAAGTGCTGCAGATGCGGGCACCTGAGAAGCAATTTAAAGTCATCCACACTCGGGCAGTAGTTTTGGCTACCTAAAGGGTGGTATCTTGAGGAGCTGGGGTCACTGCTAGGAAGCCTTACAGGACTTGGGAAGACTTTGGAAGGTGAGCCAGTCTTTATCACAGCACTTTTCACTTGCATTATTATCTTAGGATAGATATGTGTGACCTTTTAAAAATTAAACTGCAGTCTGATGGCTAGGAATTGCTGTGAATTTTAAAGTGGATTAGAAAAACTCCTGCCCCCCTCTAGTCCTACAATGGTAAGATGTACCATTTTTGTTCTTCCAATACCCTGTGACTGGAAAAATGGCTGCTACCAGATACTGTCTCCACTTGCTGAGTTTATGAAGTGGTGCAGATGCTTTTAGCATCTAATGATGTAACTGCTCTTTAGACTGTTCAATGGCACACAGGAAATTGTTATTAGGAACTGAGTTGTCTTCATCCTCCAACATGGAAAGACAGTTTACTTTTGCAGTAAGATGTCCAAACCTCAGTGACTAGATGTCTTAATTTAAAGAGACTATATTTCGTTGTTCAAATACAGTAAATCTCCAGTGGGTTGCACATTCAGTGAGTACTGAATCTCAGAACACTACAGAAAAAAAGCAAGATTTTATTATTTAAAATAGCATCTAATTACTAAATTGAAAAATTGTTGTTACCTAGATGAAAAACCTCTGTACACACTCAGCAGTGCACATGAGGTGGTAGTGACATAGGGCCTGATGAATGTAAATGTAGACTTACTGAGCCAGTTTTGCAAATCAAAGAGGAAAATGAGCAGTCCAGATTTTTTTGACTAATGAAATAGGCTGTGCACACTTGTTTTTTTCTGCATGTGATGCTAGTTTTCTGCTGTGCAGGTCCTTTGAAAGGCTCTGGGAGTGTTGATAAGCTTTAACTCTGTGAGAAGGACTGACTTAAAAGCCTTGGTGGGAACTGTGCTCCATAGGCTGAGCCATTGAGGTGGCCCTGTCTCCAGGCTCGGAGAGTTTCCCGAATTCCTCAGGGTGGTGTTTTCCTGCACAGAATAGGATGTCTTTCTTTAAAATGCCATTATGAATTTAGCTGATTACACTACCTCCCATTTAACCAAAGTGTGGTGGTAAAGAAAGCCTGGCTAGAACATTATTTAGGAGTAGCATTATGTGATAGAACTCGTATTTCTCACCTGGGCATCTGTGGATAGAAATGTTTTGTTTTGAGCAAACATAGAGTGATTTTCTGTATGAAGGCCAGCCCTGTAGAGGAAAAAGTAACACACATTACTGCATGTACTGTGTATTTGGAAGTATTTGAAGGCAAAACTCTTCAGTCCAATTCTCTGTTGAATTTCTTCTCAGTGGTATGCCAGTGCCTGGTGTGCGTACAATACACTGACTTTTGACTGTTTATGATATTTTACTTGGACAACTGCCATCCAGTTTTGTTATTGAACTCTATTACATGAAAAATAGATTTGTATTTGAAGTGGCTTATTAGCAGGCCTTTCTTTTGCTTTTAACTCATTTTAATTCTAATGGATGAGAATATTGCCTTCCATCCCTTCTGCTGAAGTTTAGATGCATGTCCTGTTGAGCTTTCTAGATGAACTGGCACAAAACTGTTTTAAAATGGTCATTTTCATTTTAAAATTGAGACTCAAGTTAAAGCATGCTAAGCTTTTCTCCTCTGCTGGTTTAACAGTGCAATTGCATCATTCCTCCCTACAGAAGCTTTGAACTTGCTCTTTGAAGCAGTAGATTGCTGTCTTTGAAGCAGTAGAAAAATGCCTTATGAATGCCTTAAACCATGTCATTTTGATTGCACAATCTCTCTGTGAAGAAAATGCTTGCTTATGAAGGGTAGTCCAAATGGTACCGTCCATTAGGACTATTTTCTGGAGTTAAGAGCTACACATGGTGATTAAACCCAGGAATAATGCCGTGTAAGTTCAGAGCTTGCAGGTCAAGCATGTCAAAACGGAGCCAAACAAAACCCCAGAAGTGGTTACAGTTTCCCTCTCTGAATTGCCTGGGCTAATTGGCCTTGAAGATGTTTCTCAAAGAAACAGAGATAAACTAGGTATGGCTGACCAGTCTCTAAGGTCAATGTTATAGATCTGTCAAAAGCAAGCCAAATAAATATAATCTTTATGTTGGGCTTTCTGGCTTCTTGAGGATCCTTCTTGAGTGCTATTGAGAGATGAAGAAGTTCCCTTTCTTAAATACTGTGTGGCTTAACAGCTAGAAATGGTAGGAGTAGCTGTAACTGGAGCCACTGTAACTGGCTTGCTGTGTGCAAGAGCACTTTACATGCCCAGTGCTTTGCAGACTTAAGTCACAGTGACTGGTTAATCATACATGTATTACAGGCTCTGAGCATGAAAGTTGAGTATCTTTATTAACACCAACTTAATGCCATTCCTTTGCCCTTCATTAATTAATTTTGGGTGGTACATGAGCGTGCCGCTCTGAACCCTTATACAATGAGAATTACACTTTTTAGTACGTTTACTGAACTTTCTGGGGCAGCCTCAGAAGTTCCTTCTTGACTTTGCTTGGGTGGGCTGGGGGAGATGAAGCCTGTGCGCTGCATGACAGAGTAGCAACATTCATGTTGTATAAGGGGACCTACCTGTGCGATTTAACTTGGTTCCTTTACTATATTTTTCTTCTCTTTATCCTTTTTCCTTTTAATTTCTGTTCTTAAACTGCACCCAAGATGCCTTTGCAGCTTCTCCTGGGGAAGCCCCTGCAGCAACTGAAGGGGCAGCAGCACCAGCTACCCCAACCCCTGTAGCAGCAGCTCTTGATGCATGTTCAGGAAATGGTGGGTTTTATGTCATTAGATGGTCTCTTGTTTTGCTGTTATTTTCTGTTTTGTTTTGTTTAAACTACATGGCAGTGTGTTTTTCTGAAATTTTCTTAGTAATGTTCCCAATTGGTCAAAACAAACCATAGACTGAAGAGCATGTTCAACAAAACTGCCCGTTTTTGGTCCCAGTAACTCCTACTTGTTCGCTAGTGCTGATGAATGATTCTGGCAGCTCTGTGTTTTGTAAGCAGTAATCTGTTGAACTGGCTATTCCTTCATCATGTCTCTCTTTTTGGCTTGTTCAACATTTTAAAATCCTGCCCTTTAGTATCTAGACTCTTCAGCCTTTCAGATGACCTTTATTTTGGAAAAACATAAGTAATGTGTCTGGATAAGCAGGCTAGATGTTAGAGCAGCCTCATTTGTGTGTGTGTGTATTTGCAGAATGTGCCTTGCCTGTAGTTGCTTTGTTCTTAACTTCCTCCTTTACTGCTCCTAAATAAGCATACACATGTATTTCCCCTCTCCTTTTTACAAGACCCCTTTGCCCCATCCGAAGGTAGTGCAGAGGCTGCTCCCGAGCTGGACCTCTTTGCTATGAAGCCAACAGAGTCTGCTGCTCCTGTAGTTACCCCTACAACTAGTGCAGCCGCTCCAGCTCCTGCAACTGCTCCTTCTCCAGCTGCTGCTGTTGCTGCCGCTGCCACTGCCACTACAGCTACTGCCACCACCACTACTGCCACCACGTCTGCTCCCGCCACCACCTCCGCTCCTCCTGCTCTAGATATCTTTGGTGGTAATTTTGTTTTTAACTCTTTTGATTCTGGTGAATTGCTCTGTCTGGAATACAAAATAACTCTTTGTAGCATGCATGCTGCCTTCCAGGCTTCCACGTGAGGAAGCCTCTTAACTCTAAATGTGCTATGCAAAAGTTGAAAGTTCTGCTTTTGGTCCTGTTTTCCGAAAATGAGTTAAAGACATGTGTGTTCTTGGTCTTAGATTTATTTGAGTCTGTTCCCGATGTACCTGCTGTACCTGCAGCACCTAAACCTGATGCTACACCTAGCATAGATCTGTTTGGTACAGGTAAAGAGAGCAATCTTCAGCTACTTTACTGCTTTGTTATGGTGTTAACGGACTTGAATAATGCTCATTTCTCCTTGATTTTTCTTTCATTTCTGGAAGATGCTTTTTCATCTCCACCACATGGAGCTTCTCCTGTGCCTGAGAGTTCTCTCACTGCTGATCTCTTATCTGGTGAGTGCTTGTTTTCACAGGACGTCCTGCAGGCCTCCGGGTTTTCTTTCAAGAGTAAAAATAAGACTTAATCACCAACTTGCGCCTTTAAGCTGAAATGCCAAGCTATGGGTGTGTTGATAGTTAAGTCACAAGATCAGCAGTTGTTGAAGGTGTGAACCATGAAGTGGCTGATACTGAACTTGAGTAAGTGATGTGGATGCTAAGAGCCTAAATCCTTCTCTCAGCATAAGAAAATTATGAAACAAGAATGGCTTTTGAACAGTACTGTGTGAGAAATGTAACACTTTCTGTTTGCAGTTCCGAAGACTTTTACCTGAATTTACTGACCCTGTATTTCTAACTTATGGACCCACGTGGTTTTGAAATATTTAGCTATCATTGTTGCCTTGCTGATACTAAATATTATTTATCCTATGCTTACTGCAGTGGATGCATTTGCAGCCCCCTCTCCTCTACCCACTGCCTCTCCAGCAAAGGTGGATTCTTCAGGTGTGATTGACCTATTTGGTGGTGGGTATTTTTCCTTCCTCACCACTTCAGAGCTGAATCACTTCATTTCAAATACCTTTGCGCTTTGCTAAGGCTGCAGTTTCCTCTCTTATGGCTTTCCTGTGCAGCACTGCAGCTAAGACTAACTTGTCCAGTTCTTCATATTGCACAACAACTAATGAACTGCAAATAAGCTGTCAGTGTGGTCATTCTGTTAATATCACTTTTGCCATCCTATCTTGAGTCAGTGCATGTGTGTCTCTCTCCCTCGCAGCTCTGATGGAAGTATGTTACTTGCTTCCCCCTTTCCTCTTCACCCTGTCTTTACAGCTCTCCGTGTTCATACTGGTTCCTCTTAGTTTTGTGTCTCTAAGCAGCTGAAGTTGTGAAGGTGACTTTTCTGAAACTGAATATCTGAATTATAAGATCTCTATCAGACTTGACGTGGTGAAAATTAGGATGGGCACAGCCAACTCTAGAAGTGTTGTCAAACAGGAATGTTATTTAAAATAGTGAATTGTCAAACATTAGTGGAATACCCTTCTCAGAAGAATTAATGTTGGTCTGTAACTTCTGGCTGGAATTACTCCTGTCTTTTGTTTAATGCTTTCATCGCCAAAGGGCCTTAACCCTCTAGCCTAAAATCCTACTCTTTGTGTGGACTTTCTGAGAAGGGGCCCAACTAGGGGGACTTGCAAACCTTGGTGATTGGTATTGATATCATCCTCTTCTGTGTTGCTGCTCTTTATAGAAAAATAGATTTCTCTGACATGCTGCTGTGTTGCTTCTCCTCATTTCCACCTGAGCTCTGTGTCCATGGTACTGCTCTGCCAAGTACTTTCATTTCTTTTCTGCTGCCAAATGAAATGGCTATCCTCTTGCCTCTCTTGTTTAAGGTAACAGTGGTGAACTGGTGTATTTAATGTTGAACTCTTCACCTTTTCTTGCTGCCTTCTGGAATCCCCTCTAGATGCTTTTGGAAGTAGCGCTGCTGAACCCCAACCCGCAACCCAGGCTGCTTCTAGTTCCTCAGCTTCTGCAGACCTACTGGCTGGTAATGAAGATATATATATATATATTTTTTTTTTTTTACACTTGAATTTTAAATGAGAAATTTAAGAAATAGTCTCTGTGAAACCCTGTGTGTTGCTTGGGTATATAAATGGACTTTTGCAGTAGATTAGAATACTTGTTCACTTGATTTCTTAAGTTTTAGACTTCTTAAGTTAAAACCGTAGCAATTTATAATGTAAGCAGTATATTGAGTATACAGGGAGGCTTCATTGCATGCTCTTTGCTCTTCGTTTTCCTGCCTCCTACGTAAGCCTCATTCTTCTGCACTGTGTGGTGAACGGGGGTGTCTACACAGAGTTTCTGTGACTGATTTCGGCAGTACTTAAGGAAAATAGTATTCCAGGTTATGCCATTTATTCCCCTCTAACTCGTCTGTGTTTCTTGGCTGATTTAATTGAGGCAGATTGCACACTTACATGTTGGAAGTTTGAATAAGTGAATTAGCAGCTCTCTTGCCTTTAGCCAAGGAGAATAGGATGAGAGGAGAGAGAATAATATGCATGTCTGTTCTGAATCTGTCTGAATACCAGGAAACCAGCTACTTTAAGCAGGAGATATAATGTGTAAACGTATGCTAAGTTTTAGTGGAGGCAGTTTTTGGATCTTAAATTAGAAGTCCTTTTGATTTAGTAGTGCTGCAGTAATTCTGTAGGTTAAAGGTCTGAGGATAACTTTAGGTTGGAGACCAAGCTCTAATCACTAGGCTCTGAAGCACCAGACTGGTCATTTTGTAAGGAAAATACTGGTTGTTACCCTTGGTGGTTGTGTGTTATGAGGGGAGTGAGTGCAAAGATGTTGTCAAGAAGCTAATCCAGTTTGTGAAAAAATCATAATATAAAATATTTTCTGTCTTGATCTGTAACTGCACTTAAGTTACAATAATAATTATATTGCAAGTGGCTTAAACTTCTGCAGTGTACTCTCTTAATCTCTGATGTTAAATTAAAACCTAAATTGCAAAAAATGATGTTGTAAGTCTAAAATTTCAAGGCAAACTGCTCTGCTTTCTTGTCAGAATGGATTTTTCTTTTCTTTCTGTCTGTCTTTGTTTTGCTTGTATACATTTAAAATGGCCACGAGTAGGTTTATATCTTTATTTGGCAGACACAGAGTCTGTAGACAGCACATTGCTGAGCATTTGCTCACCCTAGATAATGGCAGATGTATAGCCTGCAGTGTAATCCAGTTTTAAATTTAAGATTATCTAGATTTCATGTGGTGGCTGAAGGCTTGTCCTTCATGGTTAATGAATGTTCAGTTACTCTGAGTGTTTATATGCCTAATGGTACAAATATAGTTACTACATGTCATTGTCCTACGTGTTCTGCTGTGAAATAACTTGTTAAATTATTCTTGGCTCTCTTTAAAATGTTGTAGGCATTTATTTTTTTCACATTCCCCTAAGCCTCTCTGCAGACAATAGTAGAATTATGCTCTCAGTTATGATAGTCTTTAGCTTTTTTCCTTTCTGGATCTCTGTATTAGACTGCATGTGTGTGTATCCCAGCATGTGCTTTAATTGGGTGTTCTTACAGAAAATCTTACCCTACCATCTAAGTAAACACAACCTCACAATCAAGCAGTTGGGGATGTCCAGATAACACATCTCACGAACTTAGTTGCTGCTGTCTCTGCAGACTTGTTCTGGGTCTTATACAAGTATTAGATGAGTGAGAATTTAATCTCTTGAAGCATTTGTATACTCGCTGTGCCTGATGTTGCTGTTGGACTCTGCAAAATGTGTGGAATTGATACTAATCCTGATGGAAACTTCATTGAAGTTGGGAAGGACTCTCTCCTGTGGAAGAACAGAGGCTTTGTGAGGCTTTGTAAAAGCTTACATTGCTTTCTAAACAGAATCTTATAAATTGATACTCATGTTGTCTGCTGCTGCTAAGGTCCTCATTCTGACTTAGAAAACTGAATGCATCTAACAGAATAGGATCTTACAATGATAAGTCTGATTCTTTAAGAGTTGCTGGAGTCAGCTGCTTTGTCATCCCCATATTTTGTCATCCCACTTCTGATTTGATTCTTTGGATACTGGTACATTTTGCAGATAGCTGAGTGCATGGAGCTTTGCCTCGGGGCAGGTGATGAACCGAGAGAGTTCATTGCATGTGGTAAGGATCAGAGGACAGAGCAGCACTGCTCATGTTCTAGCTGTTCTCTACAAACCACCTGATCAAGAAGAAGCATTGGAAGAAGCTATTTTTAGACAGCTAGAGAAATCCTCACTGTCACAGGCTTTGGCACTCACTGGTCACTTTAACCATCACAAAATTGGCTAGAGGAGCAATACAGTTGGCTGCAAGTAATCCAGAAAATTTCTGGAATGTATTGGAAGTAATTTCTTCATGCAGAGGATCAACAGAGAAGCTAAGGCAGATGCTCTGTTGGACCTGCTGCTTACAAACAAGGGAAAACTGGTTACAGATGGAAGAAGAACAGATTTTGGTTTGTTGAGAGACCTGCTTGGCAGGGCCCCATGGGAAGCTGCCTTGCAAGGCAGAGGGGTCTGAGAGATCTGTCTGATTTTCAAGGACAGCTTCCATGGAGAACAGTCCATTCCAGTGTGCAGAAAGCTGGGCAAGTGTGGCATAAAACCAACATGAATGAACATGGAAATTATGACTGAACACAAACACAGAAAGGAAGGATATACTTGGGGGGTGGAAACAGGAATGGACTACATGTAAATATCCTGTAAATGGAGTCAGAAAAGCCAGAGTTCAACTGGAATTGAAGGCAGCAAGGGAGTTGAAAAGCAAAAGAAAGGATTCCAGAAGGACACTGGGAGTAAAGGGAAGACTAAGGAGAATGTGGGCTCAGGATTTGGGGAAGTGGTGGCAAAGGTCATGGAAAAAACCAAGGTGCACAGTGCCTTTTCACCTCAGTTTTCATTCATCAGGTCTGTCCTCGGGCCCACTTGGTCCCTGAGCCTGCGAGGAGCGTTTGTGGGAGTGAAGAGGTGCCCTCGGTACAGGAACATTGAGTTACATGGAACATGGAGAACACTTAACCTACTTGGACATGCACAAGCCCATGAGACTGTTGGGGGTGGATGCAGAGGTGCTGAGGGAGCTGGCTGATGTCAGTCTGAAGCAGTTCTATATCCTTTAAAAGGTCATGGCAATCAGAAGGTTGCTGATGACTGGAGAAAGGCAGAGATCACACCTGCCTTCAGGAATAGCAAGTAGAAGGGTTCCTGGTGGCTGCAGGCAGGTCAGCCTCACCTCTCTACGTGGAGAGGGTCACATAGAAGCCGTTATAAACATATGAAGGACAAGAAGGTCATTGGGTTTAGTCAACATGGTTT